CTTTAGACGAATTCCTGAAAAGGCTGGGAATAGATATAGAGTCGCTGAGTCAGCAGCATCAACAGCAACAGCAGGGGAATTTGCTAGGTGGAGGGGGGGGAGGAGTAGGAGGAGTAGGCGGCGGCGAAGGGGGAGGAGGGGGCGGAGTGGTAGTAGGGGGGTCTTGCCAGGGGTATGATGGTGGTAGTGGCGCGTATGGAAGACCGCAGAGGCTGGGGGTGACGGAGGGGGAGGAGGAGGCATTGATGAGTGGGCGGGTTGAGAGAGGAGGAGGAGGAGGAGGTGGACGAGCAGGAGCAGTGACGTCGACGGCGGTAGATTGGTATGACTATCATCAGCAGCTGTCTTCTGTGGGAGCACTGGCGGCGGTGGCAGCGGTGGCGCAGCAGCAACAACATCATCATCACAGGGGGGGAGGGGCGGCGACGGCGGAAATGGTGGCGGCGGCGGTGATGGATCGCCAGCAGCAGCAGCAGCAGGAGGAGAGAGCGGTGTCCTCCGAAGCCGCGGCGGCGGCTGCTTATGCGCGCGTAGCGGCGGCGCGCAACGCCGCCGCCGCGCTGTCTTCCGCGATGCTGGTTCCAACGGCGGCGCCGTCGCCGCCGCAGCCGACTGGCGCAGCCACGTCTTCCGCGGCAATGGCGGCGGTAGCGGCGGCGGCGGCGGCGACGGGATACACTCTTCCGGCTGCGGCGGGAAGAAGTTTGATGGAGGAGGCGGCAGCGCGCGCCTCGAGCGCGGCGGGCGCGGGCTTAGGTCCAGGCAGTGTCAGTGCCGCCGCCGCCGCCGTCGCCGCCATGTCCAACGGCGGCGGAGGGGGAGTCGGCGTCCAGGTCCCCATGCATCATCACCATCCTCATCATCATCAGTCCGCGATTGCCGCGGCGGCGGCGGCGGCGGCGGCGGGAACCGGAATGGGCGTTCTTGGGGTAGTCAATCCGTCCGCGGCAATGGCTCCGCCGGGCCGCCACCATCTTGCGCCTGCCCCCGTCGCCGCGGTCGCGGCTATGGAGGCTTTGACAAGGGGAAGAAAGCGCGCCGGCGACGATGCTTTAGAGAGAACTGTGGAGAGGCGACAGAGAAGAATGATAAAAAATCGAGAGTCGGCGGCCAGGTCGCGCGCAAGAAAGCAGGTGAGAGCTCCATCGTCTTTTTGTCCTCCCATCTTCCTCTCCTCTCTCTTGCCTCCTTTCTCTCCTCTCTCTTGCCTCCTCCTTTCTCTCCTCTCTCTTGCTCCTCCTTTGTCACCCTCTGTCTTGCCTCCTCCTTTGTCTCCTCTCTCTTGCCTCCTTTCACTCCTGTTTCTTGCCTCCTCTCTCTCTCCTCTCTTCTCCTCTCTCCTCTCTTCATTACTCTCTCATCCGTCGTCTTTCTGCCTTCCCTTCTTCCTCTCCTCTCTCCTCTCTTCCCTCCTTTCTCCTCTCTCTCTCTCCTATCTCCGTGTTCCTTTGTTTTGTTGCGTTTTCCTTCGCTCCAACGTACGTAGTCAAGAACGCGTGCTCCCAGTGCAAATTACTCTCCGGGCGCTCTTGAGACGTTCCCCCTGAAAAAGGAGAAAGGACATTCTGCTTGCCCTGTCCGTCTGCGCATCTTCATCGGATGCGTGAGCAGGTGAGACATCCCTCCACTCTACATTATTTTAGACCTCGTCATGCACATTGTCGGCCGCGCAAGAGAGAATCAAGTTAAACTGCTGTGCGTGTGCGTGTATCCGTGTGTGTGTGTGTGTGTGTGTGTGTGTGTGTGTGTGTGTGTGTGTGTGTGTGTGTGTGAGATAGATAGATAGATAGAGAGAGAGAGAGAGAGAG